TTCTTCACTGTATTTTCTATCTGTAACCTTCATTCAAAGAGACTTAAGATTTTAAATCATGACCTCCAGTGAGTTCCATGACTGGGTTTCCTATTTGGGGATCTCCTGCCATCACTTACTACTGAAGCTGATTTACTAACCTCTTCAGAATCATTTCCTTCAATCTTGGACATAGTGTTCACTAACTACTACTGTGTAATGCATTTTTCATGTATGTAGTGGTTTAAAACAACAATAAAATTCTATTACCTCTGTGGTGTCAGGAAATTAGGAATGGCTTGGCTAAGTGGTTCTGGCTCAGGGTCTCTCATGAGGTTGCAGTCAAGATATTGACCAGAACTGCAGTTATTAGAGGGCTTAACTGGGACCAGAGGATCTACTCTCAAGACAGTTCACTTCTATGGCTGGCAGGTTGGCACCAGCTGTTGGAAGCAGGCCTCAGTATCTCTCTGTGTGGGCTTCTCCTAAAGCTGTGTGAGTGTCTGTATGACATGGAGTCTAGATTCTCCCAGAGGAAGTGATCCATGACAGGGAAAGCTAGGTGGAAACTATCCATTTCAAGACCTAGTCTCAGAAGCCACATAGTATTACTTCTGTCATATTTTATTTGTTAGAAGTAAATCACTAAGTCAGGTCCATACTTAAATGGAAGGAAAATTAGATCCCACCTTAAGAAGGGAGGATGTAATATCAAAGAATTTGCCACATTTTAAAGCCACCATATGTGGGTTGTGACCAATGGTACAGATCCCATCTATACTTCATGCCATGGATATATGTGGGTATGGATTAATATTTCCAATTAGTACTCCATGAAATAATCTGCCCCAACATTTCTTTGCATACTCACACCTTGGACTTAGACAAATCCTCTGAATAGGACTCTTTATTAAATGACTAATGACCCAAGCAATACTCACTTAAGACAAGTGGGCACTTATTGGCTTGGGCAACCCAAGGCAGGGTTGAACCAAACAAATCTCAGGATATGCAGTGATCTAGAGAAATAAGTGGAACCAGGAACTCGAATACTGAGAGGACTGTCCCTCCATGTCCTGTCTTTGCTCTTCTTGGCGTGTCAATCTCAGTCTTTCTCACTTTAGAGATGTTTTCCATACATGGCTACCTACACTTTCCAAAATTACATTCCAAAGCTTCTGCCATGAGTGAGAATCTTCCTCATACTCTGGTTCCAAGTGTAACAGACCAAAAAAGAGCCTGGGTGGCCCACTTTGGGGCCAAAGGAGGGGCAGGGTCCTGTAATCTGGTAGCTTTTGTGGTCAGGGCAAGGTGGCCACGAAGAAACAAATGGCCAGCTTTGAGAGGGAAAGGTGCCCAGGAATCGGGTGGGAGTAGTGGGAAGAGTGACGGTGAGACAAACACAAGAGTCGTTTAAAAAGTTTCTAGAAAAAGTACCTATATTGATAAGGAGTAATACTGAAGATAAAAATAGCATTTTGTTTTCACACATATTCTGCATATCCCATGTAAAATCAAATTAGTGACAGAAAAAATAACTTTTCTGTGGCATCCACATACTCTTTCTTTTGATGGGCCTCATTTTTGTGGATACCCACAGTCATAGTTGATATTAATGTTAATATATTTGAATTAGAACAACATGGTCAGTAGATATGTTCTGTTTTAATTTGAGCCCTTAAGCAAGCATTTAAGAACTGGTTCTAACCTTTTCTCAGTTATAAAATATATTTTCCCCCTTGGGCCTTCTAGCAATGTAAGGGACACTTTGATGTTATTTTCATCTATGACAACTATGACAAGTGGACCACATTGCCCAGAAGGGCAATGAGCAAATCAGTAACACCCAACTTCCAAGAAATGAAAAGCATCAAAGTTTTACAAAACAAAAATTCTGCTGTTAATCATGTATGAGTGTGTGTGTGTATGTGTGTATGTGTGTGTGTGTGTGTGTGTGTGTGTGTGTGTGTGTAGTCGAGGGAGAAAATACTTAGAATACACACAAATATACCTATTTCCTTTTGAATTCTTGTCAAATATGACAAGTCAAACAATCAAATCTAGTCAAATATGACATTTGTGAAAAAAAAATGTCTATGAGTGCTAGTTGTGTTTTCAAAGACACACTAACCACCTACTTTACACTTTCTTTATAAAATACATATACACTATGCACTTTCTTTACAAAATTATATTTACTTTAGACATTTGAATTTTGAGCACGCACTGTCTTCTGCTCTTGTTATGGCCAGGTTCAAAAACATAGTTACTGGTCACCCTTGAAAGGGATAGTACAGTAGCAGTTTTTAGAAGTGTCCCCTTTGTCAACTTATCAAAGCAATCAAAAATTTTTTCACTCCCAGCTCTCAAATGAGCGCTCAAAAATCTCCTCTTTCTTTCTGACCTCTCCATGGGTTCTTCAATGATTTAAGTCACATACAAATGTTGTTCTGGGTTCATTCCACTTTGCACTGACACCTTAGCTTCTATTTCTGGCAAATGCTTCTGGTAAAGCAATAGTTCTCCCTTAAACATGTCTTCTCAGCAAACATGGCTACCTTGACTGCCCACACCCCAGCTGCTTACTTCCTAGCTTCCTCCTCAGAGTAATTGACATGTACAAGATCGTTCTTCATTCAGCACTTCCTATTCCATTCTGTGGTCCATCTCCTGTCACCCCCATGGGACCTGCTGATCGCACTTCCTTCCCCACCACCAGTTTTCACTCCTGCCTTTTCCACTTCAACCAGAATCTTAAATAGTAAAGCTATTCATTGATCTACAAGCCTAGAAAACATGTTCCTCTCCTAGACTATACGGGGAGGAACATGAACACACAGCAGAGGTATCCTCAATGTCCCCACACTCCTTAGAAACGTGACATTTTTAGTCCTTGGCCTGGGAGGAGCAAGTCTACTCTAAGAGTGGAGTCAGGGGCTGTAGGTCTAGCTCTCCAATTTCCTTTGTTTTGTTCTGCCTAAAATTGCTACTTAGAACCTTTGAAGCCATTCAAGGCCTATTTTCTCACCCATTGCTGAGATGGTTTTTCCTACTTAGCACAAGCAGCTCAAGGCAAATCTGTAGCAATTGTGCAGTAGGAACAGTGCACTGAGAATGCTAGACCATTATTAGCCAGAAGAAAAGGCTCCAATCTTCAAGAGTTGGGCCCTTCATCTCAGTAAGGAAAAGCTTTGATTCATCCTGGGACCAGGTCCCCCAAATGACAACACTCCTGACTAACTTGTCTCTCAGAAATATTTTCAAGGGCAAGACAGAAAGGCCCTGCCTGTATCTTAGCTCACATTCAGCTGTAGCTAGGGCTCCAGCTGCCAGCTTCTCCACTGACTGCCTGAGGCTAGGGGTTGCCATTTGCTGATTTACAAAACTGGCCATGACAGTGGTTAATGCACTGGGTGGGGGGAACTTTGCTGGTTACTTCCTGTAATTGTTGGTCAAATGCACTGAGCTATAGGAAGATCCTGGACAATATGAGGTTGCTGACTGCTAGATCCAGAACCTTCTCTCCAGGTCTGGCTCAGGAATAGAGCCCTGTGTCCTGGTCACAGATTTAAAATATATGAAAGTGCCTATTCAGTGATTGGTTGTTGTTGTTTTTTTAAATGCATTGAGTGAATCCCAAGTTCTCTGCACAGTGTTGACTGAGGAGCACCAGGAGGGCTTAGCCATGGCACTCTGACTAGCCCTCTGGGGTGGAAGGACCTCTTCTTTTCACCCTTCCACCAATTCTTTCAGATCAAGTAGGAAAGACCATCTCAGCAGTGGGTGAGAAAATAGGCCTTGAATGGTCTCACAGATTCTTCTTTTGGGGTCTTCCGTCCATCATTCTGCTTAGGGTCTATGGTCTCTGCACTGGCAACCCACCTTGATACTCGCAATGTGCAGTCATTAAAGACAGTTTGAGAAAAACAAAACAAAACAGAAAAAAAACAACTGAGAAATAACTTTAAAATGGCAAAGAGAGGTCCTCTTTAAAAATTATTTTTGGTCAGTCCAGATACCAAACAGGCTTACTTCCCACTCAGATGATAAACCTGAGCCTTCTGCACCTCCTATGCAACAAGCGTAAGATACAGCTCTATCCTTTTGGAGAACCACGAGACTTTGCTGACTTGGGATTGACAATATGAAAACATAAGCTGTGCCCTTCCAAAAGCTAGCCCTTCATGGTGAACGCTTTAATGTTGTAAATAAGACTTTTCTCACATAATGTTGCTTCACTAAGGCCATTCAAAGTCAGCTTCATCCATTTGACCTTTAGGTTTTAGCACCCCATGCTAATAATATGCAAAAACTCCTCTTCCTGAAGCCTCCAAATACACATCAGAGAGATAGATAGTTGAAAAGAAAACATGTTCACAGTTGCTATCAACAACTCCATTTATGGAACTGTCCAAGACACTGAGATAAAATGAATCAAAGAAAAAAATGTTTTCATGATCTTGAGGAGATTAAAATGCTAGACTGAAAACACTCACAAGGACATACAATATTTGGTCCTCTCTTCTTGGTCCCTCAGGGTTTGGGTTAAAGGATGGGACAAGGTCAGGGAAATCCTCCTAAAGCTATGAAGACTGAGAATAGCTTAGATGTTAATTAAGCCTGAGCCAGAGTCCCCAGAGAGCTCCAGAAAATGGGGCCAGCATGTTGATCAATCAATGAAATAGGCTTGGGACTTCCACAGATTATCTGTGAATATACACTGTTACCCAAGATGTTACTTCAGCATAGCTTGGAAGAATATTAATAATGATAATAACTAAAATTTATGGATTACTGATCACATGTGTGAGACACTGTGTATCTTAGTGAGACACTAAGTATTTCCCATGTATAAATAATACGAGAATGAATTTGGTGTCAAAGAGCTTCAGTGGGAAGGAGGCATAGGACAGACCTAGAGCACTTGTAGGACCTGGAACTTTGGGAACTAGATATAAAAGGAGAAACTCAGCAAGTATGAAATTTTGTTGTTGTTGTTTTCTTTGTTTTTGTTATTTTAGGTATGTTCAACTTAATGCTACAACACGATTTTCACTTTCTTGATGCTAAAGGATGATCTACTCAATGGTGTGATACAACTATGGAATATCTGAAGCCCTCTAAGCCTGTGTTAGCTGAATCCTGATGCTGTAAAGTCTAAGACTGGAAATAGATTTGGTGGTCAGGACCAAGCAATGCCGTTTTGCACTAACTCACAAATCCTATTGGAAATGAAAGAATTGGTACACAAAAAAAGAGAAAGTGCAGACAAAAGGCATAATTGGGAAGATTCCTATGTTGCAGGTGATGTTAGAAGGTCTGTCTTTCTCCGTGGTTTTGTAACCCTCACATGCATAAGAACCACCTGAGGAGGGAGAGTGTACTTATTTGAAATGCATATCTGGAGATATCTCTTCCAGAGAACATCATTTTGTTGGAGTGGGTGGAGAGTGACAACCAGGAAGATTCTAAACAAGCACACAAGTGGCTTTGATGCAGAAATTTTGATCAAGACCACACTTTGAAAGTCTCAGAAAAATAAAAAAAGACATAAAAAATAACAAAATGAAAATAAAATTAAAAAATTAAAATAAAAAAAACAATAGAGGAAATCATCAACATGAAACCTAAAAGGAAGGAGAAGGACAGGAGAAACACAGGATCAAAAGTGACTAGGAAACCAAATAGAAATTATATTACAAAATTACACAATCAGTGATGTATTATAATGAGCAATTATGATTTCTTATTTAGTTATTGTTTATTCTCTGCCTATTTTCAGTAAAATGTCTAGGCAGAAAAAGGTAATATACATACTTGGTAGAATAAAACATATTCTCTATTTTGAGAGATGGTATCTGGGGCAAGAGGAAGGGGTGATGGAAAATACATCACCTGTTGCCTAGTAGGAATGCCACATGCCTTGCAGGACTTCAGAGCCTGTTTTAATTGCTTACTTATAAGTCTACATTCCTGAATGATTTCATAGCTCCCATGGGCCTAAAGTTCATCTCAGGTATGTGAATCTGACTGGATAAAGCCGGGTAGGGTAAGAAACACACAAGAAAATGCATCACTACTGATAAAACTTGATGTTTGAGGAGAAGGAAGGTAATAAAGAATTAACTTTAAAGAATGTAAATGAGAGAATATCTGTTTTAAAGGTTTTATGACTGAAAATATTAGATTCAATAATTACATTTAGTACTCTACAAGCTAAAATTAATTATTATCAGTTTAAAAAAATCAAGTAGTGATAAAAATGATAGGCATTATTATTGAATCACTGTTCACTTTAAATATACCTATAGCCTTTAAAGTACTGAATCAAATGCATAAAGAGATTCACCGCATGGAGGAGCACAGAAAATGAATATAAATGAGTGATTAATATGAACAAAAGGTATAACATAATATGCTTAAGAGGTTTAAACTAAGCAAAATGTTATTTCTTACATTTTAAACATGTTTTTAAAATTAACATCTTCAGTATCTATTCTGTCACACATTCAGTGAAGAAAGCTGTGAATATACAACACTTTTTCAGTAGAATTTTCTTGCATGTTTTCACCAAGACTCAGGGTCCACTTACCCTCCACCTATTTGCAAAACCTACTATATAATGAAATAGTTCCTTAAGAAGTGCAACCAGCCATACTTGATTAAAATAAAGGACAAACTGCATGAAAATATCTCAGAGTGAAAAAAAAAAAAGACATCAGTAAACTGTTGCCTTTTTAAGCATCAGTTCTCCCTGTAATTCAAAATTCCTTTTTCTGCTTTCTGACCCATGGACCACTGAGATGCCAGCAAGAGCCATAATCACGGACAACACAAGACAGACAAGGGTCAGGGCAAGCACGTGGCCAGCACTGGCTGGCGGAGGGCTGGCTCCCTCTACTCTGGAGGTTAGTAGAGATTGTAAATGAAAGCCAATTACTTGTGCAAGCAAAGCAAATGTGAAGGGTAAAGCTCAAAGGAACATAAAATAGTATCCAATGCTGTCATCCATTTTAATGTGAATAATAAATGCTCAAAAAGTAAAAAAAAACAAACAAACATAAAATAACACAATACCACCAATAGAACGAACATGATGGGAAAGTTCACGATGACCTGTATCTTGGGTCAAACTAGTCTTTTAAAAAAATGTGTTATGTAAATAAAGTAATAACGAAAGTGCTGAGATTGAGAGTACTAGACATGCATCACTTCTAATAGAACAGAGTAAAGCTGTGTGGGAGTTAAATACACCGAAACTTGCCCACTACTGATTTGAAATAACCAAGCGGAAGGGTTGGGCATGGTTTTAGGGTACAGAGAATAGTACTCCAGGGTCCACTTACCCTCAACCTATTTGCAAAACCTACTATTAGTGGCAAGTGACAGGGGCAGGGGGTGGATTGAAGCAATGTGAAGGCTTTTCCCTTAACAGCATATTGGCAACTAATGTTATGTAATTTCCTTTTACTGACCACAGAATAGCTGGTCATTATAGCTTTTAGGCCCTATGCATTGTTGTTGTCATACATATCATACACAATAGAGTTTACCACAAATACTGCAATGAAACTTTAAACGGTAAAATCCTAGGAAAATAACTATGATTTGTGGAGCAATAGTTCAACAGGAAGAAAATGTGTGACTTTCTATGGGCATTTACGATAAGTGGGGGGAGCGTAACGATGCTGAAGGGTATTTGAAATGTGCCTTTGAGTAGAAAATTTCAAAATAAAGAATCATAAATAAAAATACCATATATCAACATGTTAAACCATCTCATACAAAAATACTTATACCAGTAATTTCATTTTGTTCTTACAAGCTGAGTATAAGTGTGAATTATGTGAAGGTTTTCTTTCATATATCCCATCTTTCTTTTCTCCCTTAATTCCTAAATATCCAGGTTATATGAACTGCAGTGTATTGCCCTCAACACACACAAATTAAAATTTCCCTTCTGAAAAAGGACCTGAAAAGCTAAACCACACTAAGGCGTGACTGATAATGAACTTGATATCCTATTTTAAAATATTGGCAAAAATTTAAGTTTTAGAAGGCTTAAATTAAAATTTCCATAATGCAAAGAACTCCTGGATAGGTTCTCCTTAATCTCCAGGCACAATTCTTATTAGTTTCTCCTTACTGCCTCAATATGATCATTATGGCTATAATGTCTCATTTTTCCTTATTAAAATGCCAATATGTTTGGGAAGGAACACATACACCTTATTAGCCAATAATACATAAGCTGAATTTATATGATCTTTTCTTCTCTGAAGATTAATCAAAAGTGGGTTTGTTAGGAAACTAGATGGTGAGATAAGCTCCAAGAGTGAGCACAGAGAAGTTCACTTATTGGGATTATTGTATGACAAGCACAATGCTCTATTTATATGGTACAATGCTATATAGAGTATTTCATTTAGTCCTCACTTAAGGGACATGACATAGGTAGTTTATCTATTTTATAAATGAGAAAATTGAGATTCTGAGGGGTAAATCTAATAGTTAGAGTGCATGAGTGACAGAGATTCACACCAAACGATGTGAACTCACAGACCTTACTTTTCTAAGGAGTGCTGACATCTGAAGGCTGGAGGCATACAATCCCCATCAGAGTCCAGCAAAGTCGATCTCGGGTTTCCTGACTGAGTGTTCCATGGCTGAGTATTCTCTCCACTAGACCACACAAAACGCTCTTATGCAACAAGCAGGATCAGGTCTTGACTCTTTTGCCCAACAGCCTACGCCAATCTCCATGAGTCAAACTAGACATTGTATACTAGTCAGGGGCAACCAGAGCTAAGAGTCATCCTGTGCAATGCCTGTCTAGAAATGGTAGGCAAAGAGAGCAACAGGAATTTGGCTCCCTCTTCAAACATCTCTTAGAAAGTACCAGTTAATCTTTCAAGGCAATTGCTCTTATATGTGGTGTTGAGAAGAGGGGTGCATGGCGCATTTGTGAAGAGGCATGGTCCCCATCAGTCATGGAGCCACAGTCCTGAAAAGCACCATAGTTGATTGATAAGACCATAACATTTCAATGAAAGCAGGGGGAAGAGAGTTAGGGCTGTAACATTTTAAACATGTTACATGTTTAAATGTCAGCTAGAATATTAGAAAGTGTAGAAAACATCCACTTTCATTTACTGATGTTACAAAACCCCTGCAAAATGAACTTCCACAAACCAACTTCTTCAACCCATCCAGTGTTATCAAACCATCTAATCCAGTTTGGTTTTTATGAAGAACAAGTGCAGAGTAAAGAAAGAAGTTTTCTTCTCTAACTGAACAATTTTCATAATTGCCCTTGAAGTCAACCCTCTTCTAGTTCGGGTGATTATGAGATCCAAGCTGACTGTAATTTTTTCTTAATTTCACATTTTCAGGAATCCTACATAAATTTCCAGTGTAATAAATAGCCTGTACTTCTTACATCTTTCTGACTGCAAGGAAACTGAGAGACAAGTATACCTTTGCCATTTTTTTCTAGTGGTATCTTAGATTGCTCTTATCAATTTGTACAGCATATTTTATTTTAAATATACAGTAATACCTTGGTTTGCGAGCATAATACGTTCCAGAAACAAACTACTTTATTGCAAGATATCGCCTGTTTACCACATTAAAATGTATTATAAATGTTTGCTCATCTTGTGGAACACTCGCAAACCAAGTTACTCGCAATCCAAGGTTTTACTGTATTAACCATTATATATTATATTTTTGTGGATATTCTTTCTCAATTAGTTATCTTTAACATTGGTGAATTTAGTGTAATCAATATATTGATGTTTTGTAATTTCTCCAATGATGTCTAAGCTAAGAAATTCCTTCCTATTCAGAGATAAGCTAAATATTCATCTACAGATTTTTATAGATAAATCTATAATTATCTTTTGTATTTTTGTGCAATTTTTAACATTTTATTCTTAAATCCTATTGAGAATCTTGCATTTAAAGTGATATATAAGGTTATTTTCCAACAAATAAATAAACAACTTTTATGAATGGTGTTTACTGGATAATTAACTCAACTTCCATAATGATTTTTGATGCCAATTTTTATCATATTATATCACTGTATATATATATTAAGATCTTTTTATGGGATACATATATTTTTCCATTGATTTATCTGAATCCTCTTTACACTGACACAAAAATATGAATTTTTTGTGTGTATGAAAAGCCAAGTTAATCTTTATTATATTTTATATATATATATATAAAATCTTTAAATATACACTAAGTTCTCAATTAACATCATCAATAGGTTCTAACACTGTAAGCAAAATGTCATATAACAAAACCAATTTTATAATAGGTTAATTGATGCAAGCAATAGTTAAGTTCCTATAGCATCTCATCAATGTTATAAAAAAATGATGTTGAACAAAACAACATATTCAAGGACCTGATGTATATTTATATTTTTTCTCATATATATATTCATATGGGGTTTGGG